CAGCAAACTCTGGTTGGTTTCCAACAGAACTAGGTTTATACTGCTCCAATGCCCAAAACAACCCCTAGGGACTAGAGCTCTAAAACCATCCTCATGGACCTGGGCCTCGAGCCCAACACCTAGGACCAATCCACTGAATTACAGCTTTCGCCCCAACCCTGAGGACCAGGTGCAAGTCCAACCCTGCTCACCAACCTGTACCACCTCTGCCCATATAAGAACTTCAGCAGCAAGCACACCTAGACACCAGACCATGCCAGACAATCTGCCCAAAATTTCTAACAGGCAAAATAAGTTCTTTAAACATGTAGATATCAATGCATGGCCATGCATCAAAAACTACCAGGAAAGCAGGACACTATCAACACAACAAACAAACAACAAAAGAAAACAAAAAAACACTAGTAGCCAATCTAAAGAAGTGGCTAGCTCTTTGACTGCCTCCCATGGATGGGGGAACAGCCTTGCCAAGACCACAGAGGAGGACAATGCAGCCAGTTCTGATGAGACCCCATAAGGTAGGGTCAGATGGAAGGGGAGGAGGACCTCCTCTATCTGTGGACTTGGAGAGGGGCAGGAGGAGATGAGGGAGGGTAGAATTGGGAGAGGAGGAGGGAGGGGGCTACAGCTGGGATACAAGGTGAATAAACTGTAATTTATATAAAAAATAAAATTAAAAAAGTACAATTGTATGTATCACTTATAATTTTTTTCTAAAGACAAATTCTAAGCAAACCACTTTTTTCATTTGTTTGTTTGTTTGTTTTTGGTGGGTTTTGTATTTGTCCCCATTGCTCTCTTCAGCATACAGTGTTAACAGATAATGAAAAAAAAAGTCTATCTATTGATCGATCAATCATTTATAGAAGTTTCAGTAAGTCTGGGAGCCAACCACTCAGCTGAAACCTTAGAAGACTGAAGGGAATGAAATTATAAGTTAAAAGAACTGAATTTAAGGGGAGAAATCGTACCAACCATGAATACTTTATCCAACAAAGATGTCCTTCAGACATGAGGAAGACCTTAGCCAGTTCCAGAGAAGGCTGAGGAAGCCCAGCATTCCTGTCTTAGTCACTGTTCTATTTCTGAATTGTTCTATTTACCACAGCCAAGGCAACTCTAATAAAATAAAGCATTTAATTTGGGGCCTGCTTACAATTTCAGATGCCTCATTCATTACCATCATGGTAAGAAGCATGGCGACAGAAACGATGCTGGAGAAGTAGTTGAGAGCTACATTCTGATCCTCACATAAACAAAGAGAAAGATACTCTGGGCTTGGCTTCAGTTTCTGAAACCTCAAAGCCCACCCTCAGCAACACCCTTTCTCCAACAAGGCCACACTTCTTAATCCTTATAATCCTTTCAAACAGTGCAAATTTCTGGTGAATAAGCATTCAGAAAAATGAGCCCATGGAGTCATTTTCTTTTCTGGTTTTTCAAGACAGGTTTTTCTCAGTGTAGCCTTGGCTGTTCTGAACTCTATTTGTAGAACAGGTTGGCCTCCAACTCACAGGGCTCTGCCTGCCTCCCGGAGTGCTGGGATCAAAGGCGTGAGAAGCCATGCTTGGTTTATGGAGTCATTCTTGTTCAAAACACCACAAGTGCCAAATCTGTCTGGTTATGGGAGCTCAGAGGAAAGAACACTATGCTGTAACACAAAAGCAGTTAATGCACTGGGTAGAGACTATGGCTCAGGGGTGCAGAAACTGCCTGGCATATGTGAGACCCTAGCTTCAATCACAGCACCACAGGAAAGTTAACTAATAAAAAACAAAGCTGGCTATGACAGTGCATGCCTATAAGCCCAGCACTCCAGAAGAAAAGACAAGACTATGAGTCTGAAAACTGCCTAGGCTACATCATAAGACATTGTCCCCTGAAAAACTAAAATAAACAAATAAATAATAAAACTCACATAGTCAAAGCAGAATAGTTTAGTATTTAATGACATTATGATGTATATAAATTACTGGTATTCCTTGTAGAAAATTTTAAAGATAAATTGACAGCATGATGGCTCAGCAGTTAAGGGCATGTATTGCTCTTCCTAAGGACTGAGTTCCTTCTCTGCACTAGAAGTGTGCAGCTCGCCTATGGCCTCTGCTGCCAGCGGCTCTCACATATACATATCCCTCAACACACACACAATTTTAAAATAAAATGAATTTTGCAAAGCCTGGTGTTGCAAGCCTCGAATTCCAGCACTAAGACAGCAGGGGCAGGTGGATCTCTGTGAGCTCGAAGCCAGCCTGGTATCATATGAGTCTCAGGATTCTGAAGAGAGACTCTGTCTCAAAAAAAAAAAAAAATCATTTTTAAAAAATTAGCAACAATAATTTGTTGAGGGAAATACAATATAAAAAGTATAGTATTAAGAAGATATAATCTGATACAAAAAATGATGGGGAGTGGAATAAAAGCATTGGATTTGTTTGTTTATTATGAGTGTCATTGCTTGGGGTTTGGGGTTTTAGCTTCGTTCACATATTTTGACATAGAGCCAAGACTGGCCTCAAACCTTGATCCCATTGCCCTTACCTCTCAAGTGCTGGGACTACAGGCCTGGGCCACCACTTGAGTTTTCAATGAGATCGAAGTTAAGTTGTTGTCTCCTTACAACAGCCTATTATAACTAAGGGTTATTGTAAAAGCAAAACAAAAGTGGTTAGAAAATACAGAAAATATTAAAAACAACAAACCAAAGCACACTAAGGAAACCATTTGATCACAAAGGAGCTCTGTAGCATGATAAGGAAGGAACAAAAGGTCCAAAATAACCAGAACCAAGTAACAAAAGGGCACATGGCAGCCCTTAGTCATCGGTAATTACCCTGAATGTCAATTACTTTTTCCCAATCACTCCTCCTTTACCCCCCCACCCCCCAAAGCCAGGGAATGGTTCAGAAGAGAAAACAGAATGAACAGAAGGGCCAGAGGTTGGATAGGAGTGCTAGGAAACAGTGTCCTCTGGACATGACACAGTCACTGTCCTCATGAACTCACTACAGCTACAGTTACCTGAACAAGGGCAGCAGGCACAGATTTGGTGTCCAGACATACACAAAAGCAAAACGTTAGTGCACATAAAATAAAATAACTGAATCAAAAATAAAAAAATTAATTATATCTTTGAAAAAACACAAAAGAAACACATGATGCTATTGGTCTGTGAAAGAACCAGCTGAAGGGTTAAGAGAAACAGTTATGAAACAGAACATTTACTAAAAACACTTTCTTTAACATTTTCTTCTAGAGTTGTGTTGCAGTGAGGCCTGAAATCTCAGCACTCAGGAAGCTGAGGAAGGGGCTCATGAGTTTAAGGGCTTCCTGGGCTACCCTGGGAAGACACTGTCAAAAATACATACATATATACACACATACAAACACACACACACAAACACATACACCCACATATATATGTTTATATATATACATTTTTATATATTTTTTTAATCTGTAACCATGAGAATGTGTGATCTACTCAAAATAAAAACACAGTTCTTTCCTACCGAATAAAAATTAACATAGCAACAAGAAGAATTCTGTGGAAAAAATATATATATACATATGTATATATATATTATATATATATATTACATATATATATATGTATTCCATATATATACGGAACCAATATATATATATATATATATGGAACCAAATCTGAGGTGAGAATGTTTCGGACTGAGATGAGAACTGTTGAGTTTCTGCCATTGATTCAAACTAGGACATTAAATAACAAATTTCACATTTCTCTCTTTGGACAAATTAAAGGGACATTGGTCCACAGTTTGCGCTTTCTTTCTTCTAACACTGTATCTTAATGATTCACTCAGTAAACAGCAAATGCTTCCAATTCACAAACTATTTCAATCAAGAAAAGCTGTGCTTCAAAATAAAGCATTTGTATACAAACTTTTTGGTTTTTCCTTTGGAAATAATTTCTGTGACACCCATTCAGACACTGCTCAGAAAAAATACAAGAATGATCAAGAGCTTTCTATGGTGGGAAAGAGAAAAAGGCAAGGAAAAGAGATTCTGACTTCACAGCACAAACAGTGCAGCCAATGGTCCAGTGAGTCTAACTGCAGCCAATGGGCAGGTTTTGTGAGAAAGAAGGACAATGTATATAAATACACACACACACACACACACACACACACACATACACACACACTCACACACTCACACACTCACACACTCACACTCCCCTGGCAATATCAAGAGCTTAGAGAATACTAGTTTTAAAAATTACTACATAATGGCAAGTATGGTGATGTGTGCCTGAAATCCAAGCCCTCCCAAGACTGGGACAGAGGGATTACCACACAAATCTGAGGATAGCCTGGGCTTTCACGTAGTGAGTCAGCCAGAGCTACAATAAAAAAAAAGAATAGAGAAAAAAAAAAAAAAAAAAAAACTTGTCTGAAAAACAAAATTATTGAATATAACAAAATTACTGAATAGAAATTTTGATGAGATTTTCAAAAAGAGTAAAAATTGTTTCCCTCTTTGAAGTTGCTTCCCAGCCTCTTACATCTACTAAAGACTAGGATGCAGATGTATATTTTCTTTACTATTGAAAGCTTTAAAAGTTCAAAAGTCACAAAACGATATACAGTGAATAGATTTCTCCTGCCCTCTATCATTCAGCAAGCCATTCTACAAGTCTCTTGTGTTTCTGTCCAGAGATATTTTATACGCATATAAGAAAAGACCCTTTTCCCTCTGCCCTCCCTTTTTGCCTTCCAATAGCAATGATTATATAGAACCATCAACTTTAAATTGAATAAAAAATTAAAAGACTATTTCGATAACCTTCACTCCTTATGTGAGCACATTACCCTTGTCTACAAACAACTCTCTTTTGAAAACATCATATTTTCTTTTCAATACCTCCAGTCCCACTGACGGTTAAGAAAGAAGTGTTGCCGAGAAATAGCCGAACGTCTAGAAAACTGAATTAATTGTACACAATCACCAGCAAATCAACTCACTTAACTTCTGTTCCTGGATTCTGGCCCCTGAAAAACCCTGTATAGATCTTCTATGTTTCCAGCAAGGGTAATTTTGCAGAGATTTTATTAGCACTCCGTGGAGATCTGTTCTGAGGTCCAGAGGCCCCTTTACTACATCCAAAAGGCGGGAAGAAGGAAGTGGGAAGCTGAATTTGAATGTTTGATTCTTGTAGACTAGCAACAGGAAATGAAGACTGGTGAGAAGAAACCACGAGGTCTTACACTAGTTAATCAGTAACACACCTTGCGCTAGCACTAAACTAGATCTTCCAGACTGACAGTGCAACTGAACAGGTGGCCCCCAGCTCCTGACTAGCTGGACAGGTTAGTTAAGTTCCTTGCCAAAGACGCAGCCACAGAGAAAAGAGCCACAAAATAATAACACGAGGTAGGCACGGAGGTGCCCACTCTGATCCCAGTTTTCGGGAGGTAGGAGGATCAGGAGTCCAAGGCCATTTCAGCTAAACCTTCCATTCAAGATCAGCTAGGCTACTTGAGACCTTGTAAAAAAAAAAAAAAAAAAAAAAAAAAAAAGAGGAAGGAAGTAACTAGAAACAGGCAATGGAGAGAAAGGCAGAGGAGAGGGGTGTATGCTGTGCTACCAAAGACGCTAGACAACCCCTAACTCAGGTTGGAGCCCCAACCCAGCTGTAACCAGTCCCAATGGCCTGTGTGCACATGGACAGTCCTGAGCCTCTTCTTCCAGGAGTAAAGCTTCAAAACTTAATGACTGCAATCAGCTCTTTGCCATCCCTTCACACTCTCCCAGCACCCAGGCAGAGGCTTTCGGACTGCTGAAAGTCCAGCTTCTGGCCTGACTTCAGGCATTTTCAGCAAGGTTATTCCGACCCCAAATCTGAAAAAGCATTTTAGTAAAACCCCATCCATTTCATTTCTGCTGAGCAAGTTTCACAATACATTTTAAGAGAAGGAAACAGGCAAAGATAACCTAAGATAAAAATAAAATAAAATAAATAAACCAAGGTCTCTGTCCGGACATGTCAGAAAACAGACATTAAGTTGAAGGGTCCTCTCAGATCTACACAAGATGACAACAGACCAGAACTGATAAGTGTGCTGCTTTGATGTGGAAAGAGCTCTGAAGAAAAAGAACACAAACATCACTCACTTCTAAACAAATAGCCAACACAGTTTATAAACAAAGTCTTGAATGTTTTCCTGGAACCAGACCCAAATTTATAACCTCCTCACCTCCAGAACGAAGCTTCTCTACCCACCCAGAAGCAGTGACACTACCTGTCTGTATTTTGCATGAAGTGGGGAATGTGAAAACAAAACCAACTGTGTTTTGCATTAATGTGTTCTTGCATTCCTGATTCCATCTTGTGTGATGTAACGGAACATGGAGGTGGACAAACCTGGTCTCAAATTCCAAATCTCTTCCCGACTTAAGTACATTGTAGTAGCTAAGAAGGTAACCTCACTGAGTCTCATCAGCACCATGGGATGACTGAAACCTCTTCGGGTCATTATGGATTATAAACAGACATATAGCACAAGCCTAGTCACACGTTTCTTTCTTCCAGAAGCTTTTAAGATATTTACTAGACAAGACCTTACTAGAAAATCCCCAGTCGTATCAAATCTTAACCATGACAAAATTCCTAAGTTATTAAAGGACTCTTTTTCATCTAGATAAGCTTAATGTTTTTAAGTTTGGAACCAAATATATTATCAGAACATATTCAAGATCAGTTCTACCCACTGTCAGATGAAAGGCATATTAAGTGGCTACTGTTTGACCATTTGCACCTGCAATTTAACCGACTTCACATGACTCTATAACTGCAAATCCACAGTTAGGATCTGATACACGCCGTCCCTAGATTTCTTGAAACATCAAAATTAAAAATCGGCAGCGCTGTGTTTTTGTCCTTGGTCTGCCATTTGTTAGCTTTGAAAACCCAAGAGGAGCACTTAGTGCCCACAGTCCTCAGCTTCCTAATGTTTGCCACACATGTGGTAGAGTCATCTTTCTTGGCTCTGTAATGACTTCGAGGCCCAAGCACTTACTGTAGCCAAAACCCAGAGCTGGAAAGAACATTTTTAACTTTGGCATAAACATTTTTTTTTTGGTTGCCCCTCTTTATCCAGCCTGTCCTCTTCCACTTTGAAGAAGAGAAAACAGAAACTTTGATGATAATGGCAAAAAGCTGTGTAAACTTCTTCATGGGCTTCCTAAAATGCCCTTCCAATTTGGCACACCCCATCACAGCAATACTGGATTTCTCCCTAAACAAAATCGGTCACGGGTGTCAAAGACAAGCAAGGGAGTGCCTGCTGAACTGTGTCTAAATGATTTTCCTTGTGACCACAGCGAGCCTGGAATGAGCCCCTGCTAGCGAGAGGAGTGAACACACTTCGAAGGCAGGGAAGGCATTGTTCAAAGTAATGAGTTCTGCACCACTTGGTCCACAGTTCACAGCTGAGGCTGGTTCTCCTAGACAAAGAGCAATAACTAAGCGGGGGATGCTCCTCAGCATGTCTCCGACCTCATCATCTTTATTAAACTTGTGAAGTGGTGAAGAAAAGGGGGCCAGAATCTTCTCTAACCTTCCATCATAGACAAGACAAGAGGAAATGTTTGTCAACCCGTAGTCAGTATTTCAATAGAGCCCCTTGTAGCAGACATAAGGGATTTCAATAGTCTGGACTCACTAAAAGTTACCCGACTTTAAAAGTTAAGAACCCGACTCTGGTCTTCGAAGAAAGCTGGCAGCAGGTTCATTTTGCCATGACACATGGAGCCAGAACAAAGGGCTGCAGAAGTGCTCACCTGGCTTCCCTGCGGAAACCTGAGCTCAGGGCTTCTTGGTTTCCCCACACTAAGCACTTGCCGAGACCACAAGCTCGAGGGCTGTGTCAAAGTTAAGTACACACATGCACATGATAGCCTTATCTAAATTGCTAAAAAAGCATACTCTCTTTTTAATAAGAACTTAACTGTTTATTTGAGTCTAGACATCTAAGCAGGACCAAATTCCCACTATTCTCTTACGAATACCAAAGGCTTAACTGTAGGTGCAGCTAGTGGTAATGTTTACAGACCATATATGAGAAGCTGGGTCTGACCTGCAGTTCCAGGGGACAAAGAAAAAAAAAAAAAAAAAAAAAACAAGAGCAAAATCCAAAAGTAGTATCCACCCTGAAAACCAGAAGCTGAGTTAGAATTATTCCAGAACCCAGAACTCTTAAATCCATTGAAGCCAAGAAACTGAATTTCTTCATCTTGCTTTACATATAAGGTCCCAATAAATATTTGTTGGCTAAATGAATAAATTAAATAGAAAACATTTTGTTAAGAATTTTCACAAGGGCTAGGCACATTAACTAATAGTGCACTGTTTTCCTAGTATGCAAAAGTGAGGCCCTGGGTTCAATCCCCAGCAACACACACACACACACACACCACAGTACTTTATGTTAAGGAATACTAACAGGAAACACCTTTATCATGTCCTTTTTCTTTTACATATATAACTCTATCTCTAGAATTATGTAACAAACTGATTTTCAAAATAAGTTTACTTGAGGTAAATAAAGTGGAAAATATGTCAAACAGAAGCAAGGATTTTTTAACACATTTTATTACTAGATTACAAGCCACTATAAATCTGCTTCCTGATGCCTACCAAGCCTCCCTCCTTCCTTTGTCTCCTTCCCAGCCTTCCTCCAGGCACTCCCAATCTCATTATCCCATGGTCTGCTAAAACTGCAGCTTACCTCCCGGAACCAGCAGAAACACATGTCACTGAGAATTAGGGAATCGGAGCCAGTTACAAGCCACTTGTATAGGGTCACAAAGCACTTGAACCTGAAAATTAGGTTTTTCTAATTTTCAATAGAAACGAGTTGTTTTTTTTAAAATATTAGAGCTATGCGAACTGCACACTGCGTAGACATTGATGAGAGAAAGGAAGGGGAGAAAACTCTACTTGAATGTTATTTGCAGACTGTTTGAAAAGTAGTATGTTGGTATCACGGACTGGAGTTTGCTGTTGGCACTAGACAAAATCATCTTAAAATCCCTGGTACAACTGAACACTTGCTATCCTGGAACACAGAGTGCTCAACAGTAAGATACCCAATCCTTACGTTACATCATTCAAGCTATTTTAGGCCATACTCGGTCCCAAGAAAAGTAACTCCATTTTAAACTTTTACTAATAGTCATGTGATTTCTAATCAGTTTACTTAATAGCACAGAGCTCCCAATCACGCTGTGAAATAAGATACAACAAGAAGTTATAGCACCCGCTAGGAACCCCTGAAGATTTGTAAGTTTGCCAAATGCTACCCTGGGTGTCAACAAATGGAATTTAAAAGAGGGGAGGAGGTCTTCAAGACACAATTTTAAGAAAATGACTCTCAACAGACGGCTTGGGAAGACTAGTCTGCAATAAGGCCTCTTAAAATATTCATTTTCTGAACAAGATTCTAACCCCAGCAATAAGCAAACCTGCAGCTGGAAAAGCAACGCCTGTGCTGACAGAGAAGGCCTTTGTTTCCAGTCGCCAGCGTTTTACACACTAGTTCATTTGGAGAGCATCGGGTTCTGTACAGTACAAACCGGCTGTGTGTAGAGAACGCACGCGCTGTGGGATTGTCCGCACACTGTATCTGGCCTTCTACGACCCAAGGCTGACTAAATTAAGAAACAAAAACAAAACCTCACCAGGAAATAAAGTCTTATTCATCTCCTTTTCACAGGATAAAAGGAGGAAAACTTGAATGCTCCAATGAGCAGTATCCCAGCATTATTTTTCTTCCATGATCAAAATGATAAGGCAGAAGAGAAAAAAAGTTTTATATTTTCTGTTTCGAGCAGTTGGTTATCACTTCAACGCTAACCTCTAAAAAAGAAAAGTGTGATCCTAAATTGATTCCAAGCGACAGACAAAAAAGTCTAGGAGTGGGCTCCACAGTGAAGCAAAGCAAAACAGGTTTGCTCTTCAAGTGGCGTCTCGGATCCGGTGCTGTTGCCATGGGATCCTGCGCAGGCGCAAAGAGCGCCTTCGCAGCCCGGGTGTCGCTCTGGTAACCTCTGATTTGTCCCAAGAAAGGGCAATTGGA